TTAGTGAAAATATTCGCAATGAGGTGAGCATATTAAGTATGTATGTGACCCATATATGCTTCATAAATTATGCTTTTACACTGATCTCTTGGAACTCCATGCAGAGGTCGCTTCGATTTGTTGGCTCTGTTTGGAGGATTTAAAGTTTTGCTATGGTTTTTAAGGACTGCGAATAGTAAAATATTTATATCAAGTGGGTTTAAACAGCGTTATATAATAAATAGAAGACGAGCAAGAACGGCAAGAAGAATTGCCTGAAGACGAATTGAAACGATTTCAATGAAGTGACAGTCAAGACATATTAGCAGAATCAAGATACATGGACTTATCTTCGCCAACTAATAAATCGTTCACTTTGAAGACTATTAAAAATTTTTTGACTTCACGCATCAATATCGCCTTGGCGGTAACAAAATTTTTCCATACTACTGTTGGAAATGGTGCGAAGAGCGATGAAACAAAATCCCAGGATTCACTCATTTTATTAACCGCAGATTATAATGTTGTAGAAGTAACTGATTTGGGAAACTTACCAGCTCTTGAACGTATGTACAGAACATATAAATGCCATTATTGTCCACAAGCGTTGCATCTATACAAATTTTGTACCCAAGCGTTCAATCTTAGTGCCGCTCTCTTCAAATATATATGAGACGTATATAAAGAATGCAAACATGCGAGATGTGACAAAAGGCACTGTTACCTGAGAAGTCATATCAAACAAGTGCATGCAATAAAATTACCAACCATAATGGCTTTGATTGATTTTTTTGAGAAAAACCACCAAGGAGAGTGATGATGATGGTAATAAAAATTTACCAACATCTGATGGGATTGATCTGGAGAGAGATGGACCATCTTTAAAAACTTTTTGGTTTTGCTATAATTCAGAATAAATGGAAATAAATTAATGTTAACCTTGATTTTGTTTTCGATAGTATAACAAATTCTCAAGTGACCTTCAAGAATATTCGGTTGGGGTCTATATCACAACTTAGTTGATGTCCGTATCTCCCAAATTTATAACTTTATGCAATAAAGTTCGTTTTTTTCAGTAAAGTGAGAATCCATATTGTATGAGCGTGTGGAGTAGAAGCATTGCATATAGTTGATAGTAGTAATAATCATTTAAAACGATATTTTTGTATTTCACTTTTATGGTTGGGAGAACAAATAAAAAATACTGTAGCGACGATACTTTTTCTACAAATTTTTAATTATTTCTATTTTATTAATTAATGTATTTCGTAATTGAAGTAAATATATGCATGTGTAACGTGTTTAAATAATACAAATTTAAGAATAAATACTCGTCCATAAATAGTTGGTTTGTTTGTGTATTTATGAGAGAGCCAGTTGTTATTTTTCGGATTTTGGCAGCCTGAATTATTTTTCTCTTTTGTTTGCGTTTTCATTTATATAGTAACGAAATGATGCGAAGGTCTTACGCGATTAGAACAAGAATGAGGGCGTCAAACTGAATAAAAGACAAGTAGTGGTCAGTGCTATATGTGCACACATTTAAAAACATCCTATTTTTCTAATTGAGCAATCATTAGTTTGTCGTGAACCAGAAATATCGATTCACAATATACCAAGTGTTGCAAAACGCAAAAAACTTACGGATAGCTCGGACGTTGTTACGAGTACACAGTTTATAGAACAAGCGTAAAGGATCGTTGACGAAGTCGTCGAAGTCTAGGAGAAAAATTGCGAGCAATCTTCACGTCCTAGAAACCCCAGTCCGTCGGTGGTACACGAAGACCTATAAGTTCTACGTTGGGAACAAAACATTATATATTCTACAACCACAAAAAAGCCGCGAAATTCTTACTCCATCAAACAAAGCCATGAATGGCGAAAAATTTCTATAATGATAAACTCATTACCTTGTTACCATTGATGGTCTATTTTTATTCTTCCTTCATTAGTTCTTCTAATTATTGAAGCAAAATTTATGTTCGTATTAAATTTTTATTAAACATTTTTCGAAGTGTATTAAACCTATACACTATTTGTTGCTAAGCGTTACATGCTATGAAATTCCTGTTAAATACATTGGTTATGCTATGTTTGTAAGCTAACTGATTCATTATCATCAGCTCTAACAATGTGCGTATACATAAATTAGTTTTCTGAATTTGCTTTTGCATACCTGAAAAAGGAAAAAATTCGACATTTTTCCAACAGATGGTTTATTATCGCGAAAGTTTGGAAAGAGTAAGTCAATCAGACTACAGTATGGCTACTGTACGAGGTAGTGTTCCAAACAAGTTTAAAAGAAATATTGTATCTGCTGTTGATTTACTCGAAAATAAGTGCGTTTTCAAAGCGCGAGAAGTTAATTCTGAAGAAACTAAAAACTTGCGACTTCTACATAACTTGTTTGTTTTCGCAGAATTAGCATCGGGAACTGCTTCAACCTACGACTGGTTCCAATGTCAACTATTTGTAATTGAGATGAAATATCGAGCAATATTCAATAGGAAAGGTGTCTTCGCTCATTACAACGATAGCAGACAATACACTTTTTTAAACATAATTGATCAATATGTCTCGTTGTTTCTATAAATAATGTTATTCTTATTTGTGAAATCGAATTATCATTTAAAAAAATAAAGAAGTAACGTTGAGATGAACCATGTATGCAGACTGTGGTGCAAGTTTCTATTTGTTGAGTTGATTTGCAAAATAAGAAACAAATAGTCTTGTTTCGAAGACACGCGTTTTTACTCATGGCTAATCTTAAGCGCACCCTGAGCCCAGTTTCACCATGATGATATGGTCGAATTTTATATAATTTGATTTATTGTATTACTGAACTATTTACATAATAAGCAGTTTTTGTAATTGAATAGATGTTCCGATTCGTGGTTAATATTTCTTGAGCGACCTTGAAATACGTAATGCAACAAAGTTTTGACAGAAGAAAAACAAATAAATACATAAATAATAAGCTGAAAATCTAATTACGAAAGAAATATCAAAATATTGAAGTTTAAATATAAAAACTTGAGCTACTATATACCTCTTAAGAACAAAATTATCTGTTCAAATAAACTGTCACTGAGGTAACTGCCACGGTACAGATTCGAGATTTTAGCAAAGCAACCTACAGTTTTACCGAATGCGCTGAGAACATTTTTCTACGATCATCACGATAGTGATTTTACACTTAAAAAATGTTTAGAAAACTTGTAATGGAGTATGGTCAAATACAGAAAATTTCAGTACGCAATTCTACAATCAAAGGTATAGTTCAGTGTTAATTATAGTAATGTTGGGAAATTAAAGGATTTTCTTTCAATAATTTAAATTTAAAAACAAGTACAAACGCCACAACGTGCAATAAAACCATTAGAGGTGTAACATTCAAACGACGTTGAAGTGTAATAAGCAGAATAGAAATATCTGTGTTTAACTTTTTGAATATACATATGCATATAACTCTTAAATATATTAATAGTGAAATTCGAAAAAAACGTTTTTTTTATAACTCACATAACCTCTGCATTATTATATTTTTTCGAATAAACGTTTTAGATTGTGCCTATTAGTTCTTTTATTTTTTTCTCGTAGATTTTCTATTTTACAAACGAATACTATATTACAACTAATCCGTTTGGATGTAGATCCCGAAATTCATCATCATCATCATTTCTTCGTTTTATACATATACATATATTTTGTTTATGTAATTTTTTTGTTTACAGATAATATCTTTTTTATACAGGGAACAACAGAAAATTTGAAGATTTCCACATAGAAAGTCTTTAGAACTTCCACTCCCTTTGCTAATGACGTTCAATATTTTATTAACACGTTACCTATCATGTGCACATATTTATGCATTCCGTTCGACTTCATGGAAATCCTGTGTGCACAAATTTGTGCATATTGATACACTTCTTGGAAATTCCGTTGTGCATTTCATTGGACTTCAAAATTTAATGCAATCGTTGTTTTCAAAACCTTAAATCCTGGCATACAATTACGATTTTACGAATGCTTACGAGAGTATCATACAAAAATATAATATAATCTGATGCCTGTCCACGCATACTTGTATTCAATCTACACGTCGTAATTTCTGAGATATTTTGATGAAGTTTGGTACTCTGATGTGTTATGGCCCACGAACAAACTGTTGAAAGTGGTTCGATTTAAACTAGTTTTTTGGTTGAATAATAGTGTTTCGACATTCTAAATTGGTATGACAAGTTCGATACGGCATGGGCAATTTTTGAATGCCCATTCATATAATCGCTTCCATGAAGACTGAATCTTTATATGATAAAAAGATGTATCTTTCAATATTTCATGGTGGAAAAGGCTTTATAATAGTAAATTGACAAAGAAGGAAACTTTACCGAATTTAGACTATGTAGGTCTATTTTCTGGACACTATCGCATATAAGGATTTTCAGGATATGTTAACTTTTATAGGTCGAAAAGACCTTATTGTTAATGGTTTAGAATGAAAATTCATTTATGATGGTAATTTGGCATAAAAATGAAGTGAACCAAATTCAAACCACGTGGGTCTGCTTCTTCGACCACCCACTCCATATAAGATTTCTCATTAATAGTAAGTCCTTCAGAAAAAGAATTAATTTTTAATATTTTATAACAAAAATTGGTTCACAATAGCAACAAAGCCAAAAATGTAGTAAAAAACCAAAAATCGTAGGGAATTTGGACTACATATGCCTGTTTTTAGGCCCCAATAAATATAGGGTTTACAATGAAGAGCCTTATATGGAGATAAAGTTTAATTTAAGACGGAAATTGAAAAATAATAATTTTTAGGAAGTAAATTCAGTTTGCTTAAATTGGATCACGTCAAGTGATAATTTGAGCATGTTAAAATATCCGGGCTTTTATGAAAAGTATACCTTTGCGCCAAAATAATATATAAATGAGGCTAATTCTATGTCTCACAAGCTACGGATTAAATTGTCACTACCTACGAAAGTTCTCAAAACTCAAATATCAGGAATCCGCACATTCATGCTTACGTGAGCCATTCGAATTAGTTCTGTTTGTGTTTTTTTCACTTAAGTAATAATATTTTTTCACTTTTCACTTTTAACACTAATATTTTTTCCTGTTAAAACGAAGGCGAGAATAAAAAGAGAATGAGAAAATGGAAACGAATGAAACAATTTTTTAATTAAACAATCGAAAATTGTAATGGTTGAAAACACGACTGATATGTGTGCATGAATTTTAAACATCAGCTACTAATGGCATGCGTATGTATGCATGTAACTGAGGAAGAGACAACTTATAACAACACTAAAACTAATTTAACACGAGTTGAAAAAGTTAACATTAATTTTGTGTTTCCTTGAGAACCCCGGGCTACTAGGCTGCGAACACAAGGCGTTGACGTAAATACTGGACAACTTCCCTGTGGTTGCGATTTTATGACTTTTTACTGGAAATTATTTTTTAACATGCGTCGAATTGGTTAACCATTTAATAAATAAAAGACCGTGATATATGATGAAAGTAATTCCGATTTATTGTCTGTCTATAGAACTGTGTATTGTCTGTTTAGAATATTCTGACATGTGGCCGGTACTGTCTGGAGTATTAAAGGAATCAAAGTAAGGTGAAACTTCAATATTGAACACAGCTAACATGATACCCATACACACGAGCAATATGGCAACGCCATTATGTTATTCATTCTTGGTATTCCAGATTTTCAACTCACAGATAATTTTCTTTTTAATTTTAATAATGATTTTAAGTGTTAAAGAGAAAGTGAAAGAGAAGCCGTCGTTGGTAAAAATTAGTAAAGAAACACCCTAAATTGGTAACATTATGGTAACGAGCGTAGAATTCGTAGATTACTAATCGTAAGCATTTTAAGAGGGTGGCAACCATGGCGCCAACAAAAAAAGCAACAGATCTGCAATCTGACGAAGTGTTGAAACTGTCAGCAGATCACCTAGCTCTAAAGAGGAATGTGTTGGTCGTCCAACCCAATCGACATACCGGAGTGAATGGCGATCACGGGCGAACTTTGTAGCAGTACTTCTCACCAGAAAAAATTCCCCAATCAGGTTCATCTAAATTTGAAGAAATCGTGTCACATGCCCTGACCTTTCATGCGTCGAAGTTTGAGGGAAAAAAGTTATCGCAAGCTACAACAAGTTCATCTTGAGCAACTACCAACAAAATTTTTAATAAGAGGAAGTAGTATATACCTAAGGTCCATCGAAACTAAAAGTTAATGACAAACAATTGAGTATCGCTGCTTTATGTTCACCATAATTGAAAGTTTGGCGGCCCTAATATATTGAAGAATAAGTAAGATTCGCTTACTCCTTGTTGAAGAAGGTAAGATATTCCTGCATAATCTTAAGAAAAAAAAAGTATATATGTACATATACAAATGCTGTAAGTTTATTAATTTTGCAAATTGAGGCCTTTAATGTGTTCTTGGTCAAGGTCGGCGGAACGTTTTGAGATGGTTTGAGCAATTTCTGGTTGTGAAGATAAAAACCTACGATTTTACATGGGTCGCAAGGCGTATAACGTTTTGGGCAGTACAAAGACTTTGTTAACACATGTGTGATCGCTACAAGCCAAAACCATTCTTCCATTTGCGGTAGGAAGAAGGAAAATTGGTAAAAAACGTTAGTGTAACATTGCGCAAGTTGTCCATTAAGTGCAATTTTGGGACCTACCTGAACATGGATCTACGAAATCAATTTATGTTTGGACCCGAAGAGCCACTTGCCTAAATTCAATTGCGCAAGTCTACCCCAGAATTGATAAGTTATTGTAAAGCGAGAGTAAAACTCATACATGTTCAAGTGATGTAGTGCGGTCTGACAGGGTGTGATTGGTTGTCAATCTTGAAATTAAATTGGAATGAGATTTTTAAGGACTATAATACATTGCATGTAGCGATTTCAACAAACATTCAAGGACAGCTATCGAGACTAACTGCAAAACACAAAAATGTTTTTGAGAAATCTGGTGATAAAATGAAAGATAAACAAGACATAAATAAAGCTAGAAGTAACTCTACACTACTGTTCTTAAAACCTCAACAAATGCCATTTACACCCAAATCAGCTGTTAAAGGTGAAATAAACGGATTTGCCAGTTATCTAGTTCTAATTCCTTTCAACCTTAGATTGACTTGCGTGCGATGCTATGGGACAGGTGTTGTGTTGTCTCATATAATTTATGATAAGGTAGTTGGCTCCGGCAAAACACAATTATCCAAAGCTTGACAACCGTTGTACGCTGTTCCACGTATTCGCGACCATGGAAGACCCTTCAACCTCGTTATGGACCACCAGCCATTACCCCGGGTTTTTCACGAAAATTTCAAGCTACTGCAAATGACGTCATCAAGATTTCGCAATTGCGTAGTTGCCACAAAAAAAAGTAAGGAAAACGTAAATGATTGTCTGTCCACAGCGTCTTTAATCTATCACTGTCTATCAATTTTATAGACAAAAAAGTACACGCTATCTGCGGATTACGTTTCTTTTATAGCTGGCAGTCTCTTAACTAGACAAAGCAAAAAATAAACTATTATTGCGCTGAACAGTACTAAGGACGAATTTGTTTCTCTATCTGAAGCATCAAGTGAAACAGTTTATTTAAACAAGAGGCACACATCGAAGATGACAATAATCCGCTTATAATAAATATTGACAATTTAGCTGCTCAAAGCATTGCGAAAAATCCAGTCCTATATGGTCGAAGCAAACGTATGACGTACAATATATATGTATTAGAGAAGTCGTAAAAACGAAAGTAATCGAATTGAAATACGTTTACACACATTCTAACGTTGCGGACGGATTAACCTGAGTAAAGTTAACCAAGATTAATTTACAAAAGTTTTAGGAGTACAACCAACTGGTTATTTTGTTTGAAAACTATTATGGTAACAATTTTAAAGAAGTGTTAGGAAATGCAACTTGGCACATTTATATTTTCCACATCGTTTCACAACATTATTTAGCTAACATTTTCATGTATCTTTTACTTTCTGTTTATAGTGTTTTGCTTTACTCTTCCACTCGAAATAATGACTTAAAACTAACAATCTCCCCTTGGCACAAAACACAGTTTTTGTATAGATAATAGCAGACAAAGTCAATGGTTATAGATAATTCCTCCGTTGCATGAATAAGCATAGATATCTTTAAATGCCTGCTATCATATTTTCTTCATATTTAAATCGGCGCCCTGGGAAAATACCCAAATAATATAACTTCCCAGTAAGAAGTTAGTTACCAACATAAATCAGAAATTTAACAGTAGGTATAGTTGATAGTTAAGAATACACATACGCATACAGAAACGCACTAGATAATTGTAAATCCAACAATCGGTTTCTACTGTCAAGCCAGGGAAAGTTACGGGAACCATCAACGGTGTGATATGAAGAGAAACTTGTGATGTGAACTAAGTTGGGATAAGCTATCACTAATGCATACAATAGCTACAATCAAAGCTCAGTGGCGGTGTGGTAGTAAGTCAGCTGAGAACTATGAAGCAACGAATGCTTGCAAAAACTGCCGCGGATGTAAGTTGAAATAACTATCATCCGCCTGTCTTCCCGCCCTGTTATTACCCATTCTCTTGTCCAGAACAGGGCCGGTATTTGACCCAAACTATGACAATAGATAGACTCAAATTTCATAGCCACGGACTAAAAGCATGGTTACAGAGCCTCATATGTCACAACAAGTAGATTGTTTCACAATATATTATAAACTGGCCAGGGTTTATACAGCGACCTAACTGTCTTCATTGTCAAAGGCCGTCTCTTTCAAAGTCGGCATTGAAAATATGTATCGACGAATTCGAATGTACTCTCCGCATACAAGATTCCAAAGATCTAATTTTTGCCACAAACCCGAAACGGAGCGGTGAGACCATGAGCTCCTAACAGCTACGCTCGGCATAAACTGGGCACAATATTTAGTAATCCATAGACTAGATACTTATAAACTCTCACTATTGCTCCCGATCTCATTACTCTCTTGGCAAGTTTGCGAGGTATTTGTTATATCTTACGGCTTGCTCGCTTTCCCTTACGTAAACGGAACGCGAATGATACCATCCTATTGCAAAATATTCCTCACAATAATGTGGCCAAGCAAGTAGCTCTCATTAATTTCATTGATATACATGGAGCCGCCGATAATATGTCATACGTGACCATAGAATGAGCACTGAAAAACAAAAATATTCCAAACTTAGTTATCAACTGGATAATCATTATGGTGAACTCTAGGCTCATTACCTCGGAGATAGCAAAGACGTCCTTGACTATCAGGGACAATAGATGGTCCGCTTAAGGGAGCGTACTCTTTCCTCTAATTTGGACCGCAGCCAAAGATAAGCTGCTGGTGAAACTAATAAACGACTTCCGTTTACTTCATGTCATCCTTAATTATTAAATGAGGTGAAATACTTGGATGTCCATTTGGAGAAAAGTTTAACCTGGAACCTTCATTTAAATCGTTTAACTGAAAACGCGGCCAGAGCACTCTTCTCCTGTCAACACCCATATGCCAAAAATGGAGCATAAGCCCAAAAATGATCCATTGGTCTTACACCATCATAATACTTCCTATGCCAACCTATGCATCTTTCGCCCAGTGGCCTAAAATAACGTAAGAAACGACGGCAACGACACTAAACCAAACTCAGCGTTTCGTTTCCATTGACATAACCAGCACGATGAGATCTTGCATCTTAGAAGCGCTGCTGGGCACAATAATAACATAAAAGAGACTTACCTAAGCGCACTTAGAATGTCTAATATCGACGACCTAAGCCCAGCAAATTTCAGCGACCGACTGGAGATAGTGAAAAATTTCATATACGCTATTACCGGTTCCGTATCAACCACATCGGGTCGGGACGGGCCAGGTTTTGGACCCACGGTGGAAGACAAAAAATAGTATATCGATGGTTCAAAATCGGAAAATGGCAAAACGGGCTGGGATACGTGGCCCGAGTTCGCAAAAATTTATCCCAATGGGGGATATAATCCCTTCATATTCCAAGCAGGTCTATGCAATTTTTTCATATTTTCGACAGTCAAACCGCCATAAAGGCTTTAAATGGGCATACGATAACATCTAACCTTGTATTGGAGTGCCTTCAAATTTTGAATGAGTTAGGCAAGCCCAAAGACGCGCATCTAACATAGACGCCTGGTCATTCGGGTATTGAGCCCAACGAATGGGCTGACTGTCTAGTGCATAGTCTAGCTGACAGCGGGACTCGATGGACAATGCTAAGTGCTAAACCTTTCGGTGGTGTACCAAGAATCAATATTAGTATTCTGCCATCGCAACGGGCACAGAAAAATTCGGATTGCCATTTGAAGCAATGTGCAGAACAAGGGCAAGTAAAAAGATTCATCAAATATTCCGGCATAGCACGTGAGCTACTGGAGCTAAGAACGAACGAACTACATTTGGTCACAGGCTTCTACACGGTTCATAGTTCCCTCAAGTACCACCTGAAAAAAATGGGTATCTCCGACACAAATTTATGCAGATTCTGCTATCACATTCTATGTGAATGTAAGGCTATCTGCAGAATTAAATCTCATGTGTTTTGCGAGCATTTTATATCGCCGGACACGATATAGTGCTCCGAATCAAAAAAAGGTAGCGGGAATCAAGAATCTTTAAACTGGAAGGCTAGGGGCACTGGCGAGTGCAATAGATCACACAATTAATAATAATAATAAATTTTTATCGTTTTCCTAAAAAGAGCAACGTGGTACAGAATCCATGGCCAAATTAATCGATTCGTTGAAACCACCATTAAATCTTTTTGGGTACCCTTTATTTTTTGGACAGATTCAACAAACGTATTCTCGTGCTAATGGAAACTAGTCGCTTGTTAATTCGAGATACAACTCTGCCCACGTCGCCACACGAGAACTCACGGCCAATGGCATATACCATGACGGGGCTCCTCAATGCTAAAGCAACCCCCTTTGGAATGACGTAAGTACCAGTTTATCATTACGGCCGATGGAGTATATAAACAAATAAATTTCTGTCATACTAAATCAGATGATATCCTCGAACACTTTTCTGTTTTTTCGAGCGTGTTAATGATGATGTCGTGCATCTGCCGATTTATTGGAGTCATGTACCCGGAGAGATGGCAACAACTCGGATATTACGAATTAAAATCCGTTAAAACTCGTTTAATCATTCCATGCCAAAGAGTTTATTACTCAGGATATGAAGTATTATCTCGAAAATTAGAACTGCGAAATTAGCGTTTTTAACCCTTTCATTGACTGGAAAACGATAATGTGTGTTGATAATCGATTAGACTAACCCACTTCTTTGACTTATAACGAACGTTTTCCAAAAAGTTTGCCTTGTGGAGCTTATTTCACCCGACTTCTGATTGGAAATATTCATATTTGCTGCCTGCAGGGAACTATTTCTTCTATAATGCGTTTCCTCCGATCCAAATTTTGGGTACTAAAAGTTGTGACGTTCGCGTATGTAAGGTATACGGAGCCTGACTCTCTTTTACCACAGTTAAAATAGCGAATCACCGGTAATCATTCTTTTTCTTTTTATAACACTTTCGTTTCCTATTCATAGGTAGAAAAATCGACTAATAACAGTGGGAGAGAGATTTTTAAAAAAAGAAAGAGAGTTCGAAGTTTGCCGTAAATTATAACGTTGGGTATCATTTGAGTCGAGAAAAGATGAAGAAGTCAGCCTGCTTTAAACGTCTAAACACAGAACAAGTGATTGATTGTGTAAAAAACAGGTAAAATGACCAAAATAATAGCAAAAAAATATCAACGACCTTAACAACAAAAATATGTTCTTATTTTAAATATAAAGTCTTTGAAAACGTTGCATTGTAATTTATCATAAGATGTGCAGACAACGGCAAAGAGCATAGAAAAAGAACACGAGAATTAATGTGAAATATGAAGTGAAAGGAGTTTCTTTAAAGAAAATTTATATCTTGGAGAGTATTAAATTTATGCTATATTTCGTCAATTGAGATATATGATTTTTTATTTATTGTAAAAAATTTTTAAATAATCAGAAAAAACAGTTATATAAAAAGAAGACGGTAAAACAAATTAACGAATACATTCCCAAAAATGAACCCCATAAGAGATATAAGTAGAAGTATGCTTCGTAGCTAAAGTCAACTCCTTACGACTTTTAAAGGGACGGCATTCAAAAATTGTCAAACAGATGCGAAAAATCTATTAACCGTTATGGACAATACTTGAAAAAAATATTATTTTAATTATACATATATGAGAGAATTAGTTCCACAGCTTGCATTAAAAAATATATTTATAACAAGAAACACAGCGCAGCAAGCATGGCAGAGTCATACGAGAGGACCATATAAAACTTTAAAATACGGCTTATTAACTCAACATTCAAAAATGATTTGAATGACAAAATATAACTTTGCGTCCCACAAAAACTTTAGCAATAACATCTAAGTGAGAGGAGAACCTTTTCAATTACGTTACACGCCATATGTCCGAAGAGCTAATGTGCGAACTTTCCAGTCAAAAAGCATTGAAAACGTAAGTCGCTTTTTTTGCGTGCTGTCCCATGATAACGGAAACGTTATGTCCTATTTCGAAAAATGTGTCCGTGATGAAAGCTAGTTAAAAATTACGTTGATTGGCCAGAACTAAACGCTACTGGCTAATTATGTACAAAAGGCAATTAAATAAAAAAGGAAATGAACAACCTGTATACGCATTTTCTAACTCGTTACACAAATGTGCCTTTGTTTGCACAGTATGGCTAACACCATTAGCTATAGCCATTTACGTAATTACACAGTTCATAATACTACTATTAGTGCCGTACCACATAGATGACGATTGGAAATTTTTTTTATTTAGGCCTTCGCCACAAGTGATGGCTTGTCTTTACACCAAAAAAAGGAGACCTCTGAGAAGGATGAAAAAATGCCTGAAATTTTATTGTGCAAAAGGTAATGAGACACTTACGTTTGCAATAAATGTAATGGAAACGTTTGCTGGATAAGATGTGTCTCGTTATCATACTCATAAACAAAAATTAACCATAAATAACATAAATAAAAAATCGTTCAATAAACGTAAGTAAGTTACAGGCAAAAAGTGCACTATTATAGTGTGAATTGTTAACGTGTTGTTAATCGTTGTGAAACCTTTATATCGCTTTAACAAATGTTCCTTTCAAACTTCTTTTATCAAAAATATAATGAAAGGGGTCTCAACTTTTTGTTTATCATTGGACTGGTTGTGGGCCGATCACGCTTGATTGTTTTCCGTTATCTTCTTTATTGATTAAAAAAATATTCGTCTAAAATTTTTATTCCGTTGATTAATTTATATACCTCGTTACTTGCAGCAACTTGCACCTCAAGAATTAAATAATAGTATGAAATGATACAATCAACATATATTTCAATATTTACATAATTAAGTAAAAAATAGAGTTCAATTGATATTTCCATGAATTGATTAGTAACCCCACAATTGAGAAAAAAGGAAGGAGTGATAAAAATCGTTATTATTTTAAGAATCAACACAGAAGGGGTTAACTAACTCATAATTAAAGCCATCGAATTGTAAATTAATAGAGATGTACTTTCTCGACGTACATTGCGGTAAATTTAAATTTCACCAATTTTCCACAGAAGTGACGTCAAGTGCACATCTTGACATTCATCAATTTCAATCGGTTAACATATGAAGATAACGTACAACTGAGCTTCCCTCTTAACCTACGTAACAGCAATACAAATTATTTCCGAACAGACTCAATAAGATCAATGTCACATTCATAACTTGAAGACCAGGCCTGTTGAGTTAGCACCGTTAGGACGCTTACAAGTGTGTACCTATTTACGCCCATAAATGCATAAAAGTTTTTTGCTACTCATTCGCTACTTGTTTGAACAAAAGCATCTAATTTATTTTTTTTAATGGTATAGCCACTAATCTTTAATTTTTGGAACATCTTTTTGTACGAATCCTTATCTGTCTTAAGTTTTTAATAAGCCAGACTGAGCAACGATTCCATTCCACTGTAACTCAAGGTACGAGCAATAGTTTACAGCATATTATAAAAATTTGAAAGATTAGTAAACAACCATTCGCTTGATCAGACCTTGTTGGTTAATCCTAGTGTCAACAATTTTTTTTAAAAGAACGTTTTTAGTTTCTATTTTTACATATTTAGACTGGAAGTTAAAAAAAAAAAAACAAGAATAAAGGCGAATAATAGGGGCAGCACGGTACTGCGAATTTTAAGAGACAACGGATAAATTGAAATCTCCAGGCACAGCTAAGATATTCATCAAATTCAGAAGTTAGAATAGCTCTTGAAGTAAGATAAGCACGGCTATTTCGAAAGCAGGAGCTATGTACAAGCATATTATATAGCATTACTTTTCAGTTATTATCCAGTTACTACCCACACAAAAAAGTTTATGTCGCAAACATTATTAAGTCGAGAAACTCTTAACGCAACTGAGATGTGTACTGCAGTAAATATCCAACCGCCTTTTTCAATTACTTTATCACCTCCTATTTGATGCGAAGACCTGCAAATTAGAAGAGGTTCATTGCTGAAAATATTAGATTTCAATCAGGTTTTTGTAAAAGCTATTACTTGTAAGAACGGGTTACGAAGATTGGAATTCATCGCTCTTCATATTTTGATAATTATGTAATCAGAAAGAAGACACATATCGCGCTTTCTAAAGGAGAACGAAATATTTCAGCAATGATAGAAGGTAAAAACAAAACTACCTTGCCATTTTTCTGAGAATAAATTCCGTAAGCAGAGGCCTCTGACACTATTGAGACTTTTTAAAAATGTATTGAAATTTTGTAAAGAAGAACAAATGGGACATTTGAGCTAAGGAAACACTCCATTGAGTAGGGCGTTATAAACGCAGCTTTGGAAATAAGTGTTAACTTACGAAGTTGAACGCTAACTAGTTCACAATCTGTATTGCCATATAGAATTTGATGGGCAACTTACGTTAATAACGATGCGTTGGTTTATAACTTCAATGGATGTTTGTAGATTTTGGAAAGAGAAGGTTGCTCAAAAGAGCTCTCAAAAAAATACACTCACATAAAGTAAGTAGTTCTACTATTAACAAATAAGGTAACATTAGTTTAAGTACCTTTAGAAATTAATTGCATTTCCTTATGGCTAAAACCAAACTCAAACCTACTAGAGATGTTGCTTCGGTTCGCACACCCTCCGAAAACGTAAATTTCCACTCTTTTCTTCGCATTATTTCTCCTCTTACTCTCATTCATTTGATATTAATTGAGCTGCCTGCTATGGAGAATAATGGTTTCTTATGGTTACCCTTACTGACCCTATTTCACCACCCAAAAAATCCCTCTTATACCGCTTAAAATGTTCGCCCTTAGTTGAAAACATAAAAATTGCATTAGTTGTACAATAAATTCTTTCCAATCTATTATTATTTGTACTTTTATAATTTCCTTAAACCAAAGAAATACATTCCAGGACGAAACTGTAAGACTATCAGCTCTATTTTTTAAAGAAAACACACCAGATGGCAAGTCCAGTCATTTTATTAAAGTTAAATATTTTATTGCTTCGACTTAGAATATTAGATTTCTTAGGAATCCATCGATGCCATAGTATAACTAAGGCAACTTTTCAAAAATTTTTTCATATTGATTTTATTGATGTTGATTGGATATATAGTGATTAATCGAAATTAGGATTAATCTGACAACAGTGTATACAGAAGCATTGTTGACGTTCTTCGTCAATTTTCTTCTCAATACTATCTAGGATGAGGCTATACACACTTCGTCCACCTATTTGAAACTCCCAAAAGTAAGCTTCAGAGGCCTTGTAACGTGTATATATTTTTGATTAGCGTGAAATTCTGTCTATCCTGTCCATCTGCGTACCGTGTCCTGCTCTCCTAGTAGCGAAAATTAAGATATCGACTTCAAATTTGGTAGAAACGTTGGAAGTTCTTGCACTTCGGTCGGTACAGGAAATAGCGCAAATTGCTTAAACCACACGTCCACAATAAACCGTACACTGAGTGTAACTTTGTTCCTCTAACCAAAAATTTATGGATTTTTGCTCATTATTCGCAGATTATGAACAATAGAAGTCTGAAATTTTCTGACACACAAAGTCATAATTGATCAAGTCTTAATTTTCTTGTTGTTTTCTGCTTATTAGTCATAAAGTAGACAAGACAAACTGCTGAAAATTATCCGGTATATCTCTTCACGTGAAGACGTATCATCTGTCTAAAATGTATTATTTCTAAAATAAATATTATGGACGCTACAAGGTTGCCGATTCATTTTTTTTAGCAGTACACACAATTGACCACCAATTAAAAGGATTTAGAGAGTAGAATTCGGGAAGCGAGGTGCATTATTTCTACATTAAATATGGCGAACGTCCTGACGTGGTAGATTTTTTCTAAGCAATCTTTGAACAATTAGGCTGATGTTCGGTATTTCTAATCGTTATTTTGAATAAAATCTCATAGTTATTCACTTAAAACTTCTAACACGTCTTAACACTAACGCTAATAATAACTTGCAATACCAGTGTCATCCTACCGCAGCGTAGTAAAGACGTGATTCTGGGTGTATGAAGATCGGCCCCAGCCGAATTTAACTTTATCTTTTATTATTATTATTATTATTTTAATTTTAGACTAATGAATTGAATTCTTAGACTAAAAAAAAAAGACATTGAGCACTAGCAACACAG